TTCCATTCTTTGCTGGGCAGGGGGACGAACTTTGCAAACAAGAAATCGGTGAAGAAATCTTATTTAAAGATGAGGCTGAACTTCAAAGGCCATAGCTACTGTTCGAGGTTGCTCTCTGGTGTACTTCCCAAGCACATGTACCAGAAGGATGATGAGGTGTTCGAGACCTTGTTGCGGGCATCGTGTGAGGATGCTCGCACCATGATGACAGAGGGAGTGCTGGATGCCGATGGCAATCGTTTTTGGATGGCTTGCTTGGGCACAGTTGGAGATTGGCCCTTCCTTCACAAGAGCGGCCACTTCACACGGACATTTGCGAATGTCGTGAAAAGGGTTGATCAGGTTGCTGGCGGGATTTGCCACCTGTGCGATTGTGGCCCCGACTCTTTGCCTTTTGAACGGTTTGCGACGAGACGACCTGACTGGCTGCCAACCTTGAATGCAACATCACCTCTTCAAACAATGCCAGCAGCAGTACGAATTCCACATGCCCCTGGGCAGCTTGCAGCAACTTTCTATTTCGATTTGTTCCACTGCTGGCACTTGGGTGTGGGGCGGAACTTCGCAGGCAGTGCACTCGTTCTCTTGAGCGATTTGCATGCTGGCAATATTGATGAGCGGTTCGATCAATTGACGATTCAGTGCAAAGACTGGTGTCGACGAAATGGTGCTTCCCCGATTCTCACCAGGATCCACAAGGACAATATACAGTGGGCATCAACTTCCGAGTTTCCGACGGGGACGTGGTTCAAAGGCGAAGTCACGACGAATATGGTGCGTTTTTTCGAAGATTGCGATGGTTTGTGTGACGAGCCGATTTTTCGACTCGCGATTCAGGCGGCCCAAGCGATCAACGAGTTTTTGCGGCTCTTGTTCTCCTCCGACCTTTGGTTGCCTCCCGAAGTCGCCCGCCGAGCAGCTGAGTTGATGTTCCGCTTCTTACGAAGGTATGAGTCCTGTGCTCGGCTTTCGTATGAAGAGGGGCGGACATTATTTATTCTGCAGCCGAAGCTTCATACTTTGCAACATTGTGGAATCACTCTCCTACACACGGCCGGTCGAAACATGGAAGGGCTGAATCCATTATGCTGGTCGACCCAAATGTCCGAAGACTTTGTCGGGCGGCAAAGCCGCCTCAGCCGCAGAGTGTCGTCGTCTGCACAAACAATCAACAGAGTCATCCACCGCTATTTGCAGGCGGCACACGGCGAGTTCGTGAAGTGCGGATACTTGAGATGAAAAACGATCGAGTTTCGCTTCTGTATCGAGAGTCTTTAAGTTCTCACGAGCATCAGAAGCATCAGCTCAAACCTCGAATTGCACAAACCCCGGTTCCCAATCCCAGACCCCGTGTCTCAGATGCCAACCGACTTTTTAAGCGGGTCTAGTGGGTCTAGGTATATGTTATCTATTTATATAGTTCATCGGGTGTCTGTCCTTCGTCGTGGCTTGAGCATGGGTCTCGAGCATAGTTGAGTCTCTACGCCCCTGAATCCCAAACCAGCGGCGCAAACAAAGCTCCTAGAACTCAAAGAGCTTAAGGCTTCACGCCCTGAAGGCCCAAGCCCTCATCGACCCCAAAGCCTGCACTTGAGCCATCTCAAGCCTGAAATCGGAAAGTCCCAACTGTGAGTCTTTATATATATATATACACATACATGTATGTATATATATATATACAACTTTCTGACCTGGGCTCCTAGCATCCCTAGACGACGGGAGCACCCCCGTGTCCATGGCATGGAAGGTCATCAGAGTGATCCTGGAAGTCTCAAGTCCGGCGTGTTTTTGACGGGGTCTTAGGGGTTTAGGGGTTGAGGGGTTTAGAGTGTAGGGTTTTGGGGTTTAGGGTTTAGGGGATTTGTTGAGTTGAACTCCCAACAACTACCGATCTCCAGAAACCGCCAAGCCACAGTCTCACACGACATACCAGAAACACGACACCTGAAACCCTACTACCCTGCAAACCCAAACCCTAATAACCCCTGCACATCGGCAGTTTGAAGGAAACCGAAACCTCCAATCTTTGAGCCCTCCTCGCATACATGACGAAGAGAACAGTGTGCACGATGAGAGTCTCGACCCTTGGCAGCGGCTTTATCTTCAGGTCAAGGGTTCTTAGGGTGTAGTGCTTCCATATATGGGGTTTAGGCTTTGCGGGCGTTAGGGTTTAGGGCTCTTTTGTGGTTCAGGGATGCCAAGGCTTCTTTGAGGTGTATTTGGGGCTTTTGCAGTCAAAGCCCCAAGCTGCGGGGTTGGTCTTGCAGTGTACCGCAGATTCACCGCCAATGACGCAGCAACAAGCGGGACCCCCCCACCCTACACGTGCACTGATACACAAGAGGTCCGGTCTCTTCCGCTGATCATGAAGCTTCCTATTTCGCGACTGAAGACCTGAATCGAATACCCCCAAAGCAAGACCTCAGAATCTGCAAAACCCCACAGCAAACGATTCGCCGAAACCTTGGAGGCCCGGGGAATATAGTCGCTGGGGATGAGAGTACTGAGGATAGGGCCGCCGGGCACCTGTCAGTGAAGCTGCGCTTGGTTGCTTCGTGCTGTTCCTATAGGGCCGAGGTTTAAGGGTTAGGGTTTGGGGGTTAGGCATTGGGGTTGTAGGTTTTTCGGTGTTTAGAGTTTACGGTATTCAGACTCGAAGGCTTGTGACCGAATCCTTAGGGAATGCCATGCTCAGTGAATTGCCTAAACCGTATAGGTGCATGCGGTTCTTATATTAGTAACACTACATATTCTATACCCCCAAAATGCTCCTCTAATTCTTGAACCTGAATGAAGTCAAGATCGCATCCTTAAATTCCTATAACATATCAAAACTATATTACACAATTCTACCCCAAGTCCCCTTCCTGAAGCCCCTATGCATTAGGATTTGTAGGGGACTCCAACAGACAACGTAGGGCGATGTATGAGTCTTGGAATCTTGGAAAGCTGATGGACTCTTTTCAAGCAAATTCTACCCTAGCGAGGTGCAGGCTGACAGAGGAATAGCATTACTAACTGCTTGATTGTTAATAGCACCTGGAGTGATTAGTTAACAGCCTTCTTCTGTGTGGCCGCGCGCCCGCACTTGCCCGTAGAAATGCTGAGGGGCTTACGCCGAGGGCCCATGGAACCGAAGAGTATATACTTTATAGGTTTTTTGGAGCCAACATACTTACTATTTCGGTACATGGGCCCCTAGAGGTTAGCTACTTGTGATGCTCTTTGCCTATTTGGCTCTCGCAGGGACTGTAGATCTGGTGAGCATGCAGAGGGTCAGGTTACACAGACCACAGGATCTATAGGAGCTAGGGCCATGCAGCGCTCTGGGTTTAGGATTCAGGGTCTCAGGGATCGGGCAAGTTGGCTGTTCGAATTGGTTTCGGTTCCACCTATATCGCCCTGTAAGAGTCGAAAGAGGCGCTTACTCCCGGTTGCTTGTCTGATGGGGAGTTTCAGAAGTCCTAGTGGTCCTAGTGAACCTGGTATGGACTTGTCGAAGGACACACTTCCCAGCGGAAAGCTGTTTACTCCTCTGCTCTCAAGCACACGAGGCCGAGCATGTGAAACAAGACAGACTGTCAAATCAGCAAGCCCCGCCACTTTGGGTTTGGTCCCGGTGCCTGCGCTGTATGGTTTAGGTTTAGGAGCTCGGCTTGGGGCGTTGAAACCTTGAATCTCCCTCAAACCATTCAGCTTGTGATGGAGCTTACAGGCGTATATTGCTTCAGCCTTGAGCTCAGACGGGCGTCGGAGATTTCGAGAGCAAGGGGTCCCTGTCCCTACTGTACGCGCAATGCTTCGGAAAATCTTGCAGCGAAGGCTCTCACGCCCCTCAGACACCTGCCGCTCGAGCCGCATTCAGCAGGGTTCGCAACAGGAACTTCGTCAGGGCCGGGTTGTCATCGACGATTTCGTCCAACATGGATCGGTGCTTCTCAAGGAGCTCGCTCGCATGCGCTTTCACCAGCTCCAAGCACCGGGCCTCCAAGATGCCCCCACTTCCGATGACCTTGCCCAGAAACTGAAGGGCATTGTCCTTGCAAACTTTTGCCACGAGCTCTCCTTCCACTTCCTGGACCAGGTCATCTAGGCAAAACTGATCTGCCAGCTTCCGGACGGAAAATGCGACCTCAACGTTGCAAGCAGCGCGAAAGGGCTGCGACATGAAATGGCAAAGGACCTCAGGTGACGGTCAACTCCCCATCCCGTTAATGAAACAGTATGCAAACTGCTGGGGTTGACAAGCCTGCTGGAAAGCCTTAACCGAGGAACTGCCTGCATGCTCGTCACATCCGCCTGCTCGTTGCTGCGTAAGTCGATGACATTGGTGCGACCCTCGACCCATGTTTCCGATGACAGCATGTTGGTGAAATGCGTCGAACGCTCTACCACTAG